TTTTAAGTAAAACTTTCAGTAATGCCGGGTAAAATACAACAACAAAGTAACACAGAGCTAACTATGGAGAGAGAAGTTCCCAGGTGACAATATATAGAGGACACATAAAGCCCAGAGTGGTAATCTTGTGAGCTGATGCCACCGCACCCTGGAGGGAAGGGGTTCTCATCTGCACATAAATAGGGATACAATGTCCATTTAGGAAAAAGTGTCCATACCAGATGTAGAAGACTCTTCCTCTATATCTATATAGTCAGAGACAGATGTATAGTGGCAGCAGAGGTCACAGTGACACAGGGCCCTGGGCCAAGGAGTGTGAGCACCTCTGCAAGCTGAGAAAGGTAGGAAGACGAATCCCGCCCTAGAACCTCAGTGTGGAACGCAGCCTTGGCCAAACGTTGGCTTTAGCCCAGTGACATTGACTTTGCACTTCTGCACCCTAGAACAGTGAGAAGATGAATGTGTATTGCTTTAAGCCACTGAGTCTGTGGTCCTTTGTTACAACAGCAATAGGAAAGGAACTCAGGAACTAACAGGAACATGAACCAAAGGCTGCCTGCTGTGCTGGCAAGAAGTCCTTTTTCTCTGATCCTAGGAGATTCTCCTGTCTTCTGGCAGAATCCACAAACTACCTTATGCTAACTTGGCAGCTTGCAGAGGCTTAAATCTTAACCCTGCAGAGTTCTTGATATTTAGTTAATAAAAATGATGATGTCATCATGGGTATTTTTCCATCTTCTAAATACCCTTCAGTCTTCTAATAAAGCTACTTCTAATTAAGAGACCGTGTAAATAGTTTTCAATCTTCATAATGAATAACTGTGGTTTTATCTGGTTAATTAAATTATGAATAATAATATCCACATTTCTAAAAGTTATTAAAATCAACATTGTTTAATGAAAATATCATTTCTTTTTGCATGAACATGTATTAACTTCAAGAAATATTCCATGCTTTGTTCTATGATTTACTGTTAGAGTCTTAAAGAATAATATTTTCCTCAAAAGATATTATGGCGAAGGGATTCCTTTTGGTGGAACAGTTCCTACATCAAATCTGGTGCATGGCTCAGGCCACTGGGAACCTAGAGATGATAGAAATTAGGAGGCATTAAAAACACAATCATTTTTAAAGGAATTAAGAAACTTGATGTGTGAAAACAAAGACTCAGAGAATATTCTGGTGAAATAAATGTATTTTTCAGCGTAAGCAAGACACGGGGTGAATAAATCTAAAATGAAAAAACCACCCAGAGATTAGCAGCGTGTCATGCATGCAGTGTGACTGATAAAAACCAAGTTGTTTCCAAACCAGTGTGCAGTCTTGATGCCTTCATGAATCAAGTATGTGTGGCACCAGACAACCTCAAATATATGTTGATGAGGTATTTATAAGCCCTTCACCATCCCAGCTCAAAGCCAACACACGAGCCACAAGACCATCACCTACACATCTGCAACACACACAGCATGGTGAATAGCACTTTTCTTTTTCAGTAGTGGTGGCAGGGCACTGTGAGCAGACAGAGATACAGAGATACAGGGACACAGGGACACAGAGGCACCTCCCCTCACTCAGCTGATAAACTTCCGTGCATTCCTGGGGACAGGATTGTCATAAAATGCACCATGGATAGATCCCCCTCCTAGGAAAGGAACGGTAGGGCTGTCCTCAGGTTTGAGCAAGGGTGGCCGGGGGGTCTCAGAAGAACTGTTTCAACACAACCAATAGAATTGTCGGCCACCGTGACCACGAGAGACAGGTATCCTGCCATCCCGGTAGTCATTTGGGCTCCTGAGAAAAGCTGGGTTCAGTAAAGAGTTGAGTAGAAGGCACAGACCTGAGGGATG